ACACTTGCCTTGAAAACTGCAAGGACTCATCCAAGCAGTCACTGCAGAGTCAGTAATGACTAAGCGCAGATTTAAAAAAAAAAAAATGAGGAAATGTTACAAATCTGTCCCTTTTTAGTTGGGAAAGGACAAAAAACGGGTAGGTGTAATAGGGGTGTGTAAAATTATACATGCTGAAAATAAAATGGAGAGGGTGTGTTCCCTGCTACCCAGAATCATTACAGAGTTGGGCAGCCTTATAAATTAAATACATAAATAGTTTCTAAGGTCATAGAATGAGCTGGTGATAAAGTTATACCCTCACATAGAATTTTCAGTGAGATTAGCATTACCAGTCAAAGAATTCTGCTTCCCGGAGTTAGATTACAGCATTTATTTATGGGATTGAACCTTAAGCTTAAAATAAAGAGCTTATTATATACTTAATCTTAGCAGCTAAAATAACAGGGATGTCCATAGAGCTACCATCTCGGGTAGCTATGACAGTGTGATGAAAGCTGCTCCTGTGTTTTATGTGTGGCGTATGTGCAACAGACATAAAAATGGGTGGAGCTTTGATTGTACCATTGTAGTCACCATCTTGACTTTTTTTCCCATACTCTGTAGACACCTCTGTAAGATAATAATTGCTCGGCATTGCAGACCCTTAGATAATTTGAACAATCGAGATGTGGATTAATTCAATTAGTATGTTAATTAATTTGATTTAATTAACATACTGATTGAATTAATCCACATCTCAGTTCAAATATGTAAACACTAATTGAATTAATCCACATCTCAGTTGTTCAAATATGTAAACTATTCTAACATAGTACATCAGAAGAGTTTACATATAAGGTTACATATAAGGTTAAAACAATGAAACATCCGAGGCAGGAACCCACAAGTCTACCAAATTTGGGTGAATTTTTTGTATTATTTTAATTGCAACAGACCTACTATTGGTAAGTTTTATGAAATACAGCAAAGATGACCCTGTTTATTATCTGTTTATTTCTTATTTGTTTTTTAGTGATTTTTTTTCTATGCATTACAGGTGTATGGTATTCAGTTACTTGATAATGTTTGTAACTTACTGTTCAACAACAGCAACAAAAGAATGAGCTGGCAATTCAGGATAGAGAAAAGAAAATGCTTTGCACTAAAAGCATGACAGAACTTGTTCTAAAAGAGGGTTGAGAAATATATATCTTCTGATCTTTTTAGGACCTTGACTAAAGAAATCTAGATATATTCTTCTGCATGCTATCTGGCCATGGGCTGAGAAAGTGATAGGGCACATGTATACACACAAACACACACACACACACCCGTTTACCCTAAATATGAATTATCGTTATTGAACTCCTAATTAAAATAGTTTCATATCTGAGTTAAAAAGATATGTTGGCAATCAAAGTTCTTTTGATTTTTACACTGTATACATAAGAGTGACAGACAGACGGGGGCTGGAGTACCATGGGGAGAATATTATATCTCTATGCATGAAACATGTCAGTGTTACATTTTGAAGAAATGTAGAGAATTTATCCAAAAACAATGAGGGGAGAGAGAGATCTTAGTTGTTGGAATATGATTTGTTTAGAGGATCTGTAGCTTTAATACAGGAACCTCTTGATTATTTGCATTTACTGATGTTCTATAAATAACACGTCCTTATATATTAAATAGATTTAACAGAGAAATTCCTAATATATATTGTATTGCTTGCCACATAACTCAAGTGGTCTCTTTATGTAGAATGTAAAGCAATTTAATAATTTTTGGGTTGTGTGGGGATTATTGGAATTATCTGTGCATTAATTAGAATCCTTTGCCCCTTCTGTTCATTTAGTAGGGAATACTTAACAATGAGATGGGTCCCTTTGCAACAGTGCCAGCTGTAGTTTCACTAAATATTCAGTATTCTCCTTGGTTCAGAGAGTACAAGACTTCAACATGGTGATGGTGAAAGAAGTGAGTCAACTGGGGACTATGCTAAATATGCAGTTAAATTGCTTCAAGGTATCCCTTTATGGAGTAAGGTTGTTTTTGCCATGATCTAGCCATCTATTTAGTTTGCTTTCTTTGTAAGTGAGATGATACGTACAAAATAAAGCAAAAGGCAGAATTGTCATTGGAAAAGACCCTGATGCTGGGAAAGATTGAAGGCAAAAGGAGAAGAGGACGGCAGAGGATGAGATGGTTAGATAGCATCACTGAAGCAATGAGCATGAAACTGAGCAAACTCAGGGAGGCAGTGAAGGACAGGAAGGCCTGGCGCAATATGGTTCATGGGGTCACGAAGAGTCGGACACGACTTAACGACTGAACAACACAGTTATACAGTTGTGATGTGCAGCAAGGTTATTCTACATGTGGAAGTTTTGCACTTCATGAGGATTAATATTCAACATTAACTATATACTTCTGTTTTTTAGGTGATAAACTGGGAGAATACTCTGCACATTCCCTCTCAGATCAAGCTTAGCCCTGAAGCTAGTGATCTCATTACAAAACTCTGTTGCTCTGCTGAAGAGAGGCTTGGAAGAAACGGAGCAGATGATATCAAGGCTCATACTTTCTTTGACTCCATAGACTTCTCCACTGACATCCGCAGACAGCCAGCTCCTTATGTCCCAAAGATCAGCCATCCAATGGACACTTCCAATTTTGATCCAGTTGAGGAAGATGGGCCTTGGGATGACACCAGTGAAGACAGTGCCAGGGCATGGGACCCACAGGCCTCATCTAATGGCAAACATACAGAACATGCCTTCTATGAGTTCACTTTCCGAAGGTTTTTTGATGACAATGGTTACCCATTCAGATACCCAAAACCTTCTGGGCTAGATATAGGCCAGTCTAAGAATTCTGATGTAGAAAACAAAGATGGGCTGGATCAGAATGGAGCCTGTCAACCTGTATATGTGTAAATGACTGTACAAAATCTCCCTCCAAAAAAACTTTATTCATAAAGTTAAGGTCTTCCTTATATAGTCCTTAGTTGGGATCAGTTCCAGTTCAGGATCATGCAAGTCTGGGGAAAGAAAGACTTGAAGAGAAAGTTCTAAATGCTAGCTGTTTCAAATTTTAGGCCATTTAGAACTGTAAATAGCTTTGTTGATGAGTGCACTTGAAATCCAGATTTTCACTCTAGTTTCTAAGGCCTGGTGTGTTACATTCTTAACCAACTTTTTCTTCTTATCTGCTGTTGCATTTACATGCTTCCATAGCATTGTGCTATTTTTTGTTTTAAGTGAGCAAAGAGCACTTACTTTTGTTTATAGCAGGGTTGTTTTTTTCCTACTAAATTATAGGAATTAACTTTGACAAATCATGCTGCTGTTCTTCTTTTCTCATTTGTTAAAAATTGGATCCATCGCACTTGTGTCACATTTTAGGAAAATACGTAAGATTGAAGAACATATGATTAAAAGTCTCTGTGCAATAATGTTTAGTAAGAGAAAAAAATGTATTGCGTCTAATGTCCTAAATTTACCAGTGCCATTTTTGTATTCAGACTCTAATCTTTATGTGTATGTTTCCACATTTCAAAATTCTGACACAATTGTTGAAGCTGCTTTATTTCCCTTTTTTAAAAACATATTGGAATTTAGTGTAATCATAGTATGAGCAAGTGGCAGTCAGGATGTGATATCAATGATTGATGTGTGGAGAGTGCTGCATGGGTTGTGTTATTTTGTTTTTCTGTTTGAAATGACCTTTTTCTTGCCATTCACGGGCAGGTCCTGTGTATCCATTTTAACTGAAGATCTATAACTTTAGACCTTCAGAATGTGTGCTGATAAAGTATTGATTGTGTGGATGGTTTTTCTATTATGATTGTGTGCTATCTATTATATGTTCTCTAAGACAAATGGCAAAGCTCTAATTCTTGTAGGGATTGATGGTGTGTATAGGCGGAAGGAGAATTTGGTTTAATCAGTTGTCTTATTTCATAAAATATTTATCCTGGTATAAAAGGATAAATAGCAAAACATAGCTTTCAGGATCACTTTGTGGTCAGAATCTATGGCCAGCACAATACACAGTATTCAGTGTGTTTGTAAGTTGCCACATAGTATTCATGAATATTATCATTTAGTATCTGTATGCAGAAATATATAATGAGAATGTTCAATTCTCTGTGCCTTAAAATTGAATCAAGAGCCTTATATTCTTTTTAAATTTTATAGGACTCTTCTGAGCTATAATGCTAAGTGACAATGAATTTCTGGAATGTATTGGACATATAAAGTTGCCTTTATATTGATTCAGGTTATTAGGTATAGTGTACTGTCTCCAGACAGTACAGGGTAATCTTGCAAGCTGTTTCTTTAAAGCAGAGGTTTTCCAAGCCCTGTTATCTGAGACCTTTTATTGGATATGCTGGAGATTGAAAATGGGACTCTATATATACAAGGCATATACATCAATAGGTTGTAGTCCTTCTTCAGATGCAGTTTTTCATTATTGTGATTACATTTTATGGTGGCAAATCAACGTGTGTACCTGCCCTTAGTCATTTAGGCAAGGGTAAAGAACTTTTCCTTTAGATGTTGCTAAACTACAGTTCCCGTCCCATCAGTTCCCTAGCATAGTCTGTAGTGAATAATGTTGGGTTTTATTTCGTGTCAGCATCTGGAGATCTTAAAGTTCCCCACCCCTGATTTAGGCATCCCTGAGACCATATGAAGACACACCAACCAATGTTGGCATGTCTTGTTGCTTGTCTGTGATGATTTCAAGGCCTAGAAACTGCATGCATGATAAAAAGCATGTCGTTTTATTTTGTTTAAATCTGCAGGTAAGCACTATATCATCAGTATAAAGAAAATTAGAGATCGTGCAGTCACATGATTTATCTATACTACATGAACGCAACAATGCTGACACTCCCAGGGCTGCTTGGAACTGTGAATTATTATGTCCTGTTTAAGTGGAGAGATTAATCTTAACCAAGTATATACAGAACAGAATCTATTTAGGTTGCAGCCATAGTTGTCTTAAGTGAAGCATCCAAATGTTGGTCTTGATTATATCTGGTCCATTATATTGTTATATATTATGATAGATCAAACTAATCTTTCATCTCTATCAAAATGCAAACATACTTTTAAGATATTTTTTAAATTGTTTAAAATACGCATTTTATTAGCTATGTTAACATAAGGAATAATGGAATGATAATGGAATACTAAAGATAATTAAGCCATAAATATCTTCATTTATATTCTATATATACCTAAATAGATTTTTCTTTCAAATCCTTAATTCAGATTAGTTTAACAGTCCTATTTTAAATGACTGATTGCAATAACACTTGAGGGCAATATTCCACTGTGTGTTTGCTTATTTTATGTTTTTAAATCTAAAGCTTCATTTTTTCCTATGTTATTCCATATGTTATTTCTTAATATTTTAATCTATCATATCCTACCCATTGTCTACATACTATCTAAAACAACAACACCTGTAAATCCATCAGAGTAAACTAAACAAAATGATTGTGTATTTGTTTACATTTGTATGAAAGGAGTGTTCTGAGATATGCAGTGCTTGTGTTGTGGTGGTTTATGAAAGATTCAGTATTACTACTTTTTATATAATGCCATTTTTATATTTACATCTATCTGTCATTCTTTTATGTGGTAGGTTCTTCCTCAGGAACTCAGTTTAACTGTTATTTATTTATCATTTGCCTTTTGAAAGCTTCTGCTGGCACAATTTATTATTAAAAGATGAATCAAACTCTAAGACGTCTCTTTTGTGTTCTTATGGGCTATGAAATGTTTGAACATAAACCAGAATTGTGGTATGTGGAGATGAAGGTAAGCACTGTAAGCAGTGGACTTAGTACCAGTAGTCCTTAATGTACTTAATGACCCTAATTGGGACCGACAACTCTGTCACTGAGTGACTGGGTCATTAAGTGAAACTTCACATGACTGCTCCACTTAGCAACAGCAGTTCGAGGTAAGGGTAAAGTAAGGGACTGCCTCCACTTCAATTCCCCCCATCTACCTATCTCCCCCCATCTCTGCCCTTTTGGCTACCCACTGCTGCCAGCTGCCCCCACTGCCCAGCTCTGCCCGCTGCATCCTCGGCGAAAGAAGGACCCAGCTGGTGCATGAAAGGAGGACTCGGCCAGCATGCAGAAGGAGCCAGTTGCAGTGTCGTGAAAGAATTATAGTGGTACCTCGGTTCACGAACTTAATTTGTTCCACGATTCTGGTCGCGAGCTGAATTGGTCACGAATTAAATCAAATTTCCCCATAAGGTTCAATGTAAATAAGGTTAATC